CGGGGGGTGGCGCTGCCTTTCGCTCTGTGGGAGAGCCGACGGGGCACCGGGCACCGCCCGGGGAGGCCTGCGGCCGCTCGGCCTCTCGCCTTTCCTGCCTCCGCGGCCCCAGGGGTCTTCCCCCGCGGGCGGAGCTCGGGGGCGCTGGTGGCCCGGCCTTGCCGCCCTGTTCCCTCTTTGTGACGGGCGGTCCCCAGTGCTGTCCTCGGCTCCCCTCCCCCCCCTCCGGCGCTTATGGCCGGCGGCTGCTCCACCCTCCTCGCGCGTCCCTGCTCTGGCTCGCTGCGAGCTGAATCCTCTCCCGCGCCCAGGCGGCCTTCCCTTGCGGGGTCTAGCGGTACATGGGCATTTCTCGTACCTGAGGAGTCGGCCTTCCCCCGCCACCACGCCTCTTTTACTCCTGGCTTTCCTGTAGCTTATTCCAGGTTCGTCTTGCAGTTCTGTTTCTGCTACTTAGTTCATGCCTATTGGCTAATTTGGCAACAGGCAGTATAGACAGACTACTCGATTGCATAGCCGCAGTGGTTCTGCCATGTGCACATCCTAGCAGTCGAAATACAGCCAAAGTCAGGATATGTCTCCTGTTTAATTCCTTCCTTGAAAAGAAAAAAAAGAAATATTTTTCTTATATTGCTCATTTACTGAAGAATTTAATGAGCAGTGGAATAAAGTAATGTTACTGTCCTTAAAAGTCAAGCGTTCATTCTCTCTTCGTAGTAGTCTTGATCTCTTTTGGAAACATGTTCTGCTGTTTCATACTGATGCAGTAAGACAAGGAAAAATACAACTCTTACCTGTTTTTCCAGACTGTGGTTGATGTGGAAGAAGCCTCAAACATGCAGTTGTTCATATTTGTAGAGCCGTTAAAGGTACCTTGCAAGACCTCATGCACTAAACTGGAAAAGTTGGCTGTGTCAGTGCTGGTGGTACTCTAGGTCATATGAAGTTATATAAAATGCATTTTAATGTTCAAATAATAATGTTCTGCTTGTAGCAGAAGACCAAAGGATTATCTTAAAACAGGCAGTTGCTGTTTCTCAGGTTTGCAAGTCACAGCTTTTGTTTTGGACAGATCAAAGCAGGTGATGTAGTTAAAAATCAATAAATGCTTATCCATGTTAACTGAAAGCTTAATGCCAGAACACAAACATATTTCATGGAAGTTCTACCTTGTCATTCTAACAATGACATTTTTCCTGTTTCCACAGCAAGCTTATTGTGGAAAACCCTTTGTGCTGACAGTAGATCTTAACCCAGAGATTAATTTCTTCACTGTTGGTTTGCTTTGTCATTTCACACTCTGCTTTACTTGTGCCTGAGATGAAATACATACTTTTTATTACATAGATGAGGAAGAAAATTTTAACCGTCAAGTTCTATCAAAATATAAGATACCAGATAATTCATTTCTTCCTGATGTTTTTTATTTGATCACAACCTGAGAAGAAAAATTTTGTGTGTGCCTGCATGCTCTATGTGCATGAATTCTACATATGTGAGAGTCTGCTCTTTGGCAGAGTGGTTGTGCTTGTTCTGAACCCTGAGATAGTTTTTAAGGTGTTATATTATGTTGCCTCCTTTAAAGTATTTACACCGAGTTGTTTTTACAATAAACTTTCTTGCCTCTGAGTTTTCATCTTCATTGTGTTTTCTCAATTATACAAGCTCAGAAAGAAACCACTTTTTATATTACTGAGAGCAGGTCACATTTTGTCCCTCGATTAAAACTTTAATGACATCAAATTTACTAAAAAATAGAGGATTAAGAATCAAAAATAAGTGATAAGATCTTTTGTATCTGACTGCAGTCATGTGGGCATGTCAGATAGTTGAAACTATGAGGTTGCTTGGAGGTTCAGGAATCATAAGGGAACTGCAGTACTTTGGGGAGGTAGCGCAGCAGCTGTGGCTTTGCCACAGATTGGGTTTTGTTTTTAAAGTTCAAATACTTGCATTTCCCATAGCTTCAGTGAGGTTCCAGTTAATATTAGTGAAATATTCTGGGATTGAGTTACGTTCTGTAACCACAAGATGTTTAAAATGCGACATTGAAAAAGAAGAAACAACTCTCAAAGGAAATGGCCCTCAAAGAAAACAGCCCTCAAACTTACCTGAGTTGTAATAATACTTGTTAATGCCAAACTTTAAGTGGGTTTTAATCTTTTAGATTTAACTTATGAAAACTGTGTGCATTTGGTTTGATTTTTGGTTAGTTTTTTAATATATGAAGAGTTTGGTTCTTTACCAGCTTAATCCTTGGATAGTTTAAAAAGCAAAATTGTCATGCCTAGTTGGTTGGTGTATTTTGTGATGCTACTGTTGGCAATACACGTGGACAAATAAGGGGGCTTGGCTATGCTGTAGTTCTCTGATGATGCAATTTTAGAATTACTTCTGAGTTTGTCCACTTTGACAAAATGAATAATCCACTTACTGGGATCCAGCGTTTAGTGTGCTGCGTCCCTGCTACGTTAGGGTGCAGCCATTCGCTGTCCGTGCCTCACGTTACTTCCCTGGATGAAGGTTCTTGCCCATCAGAGTGGATGTTCTGGCTTGTGTTAAGGACTGCTTGTGTATCCAGCTCATACAACAGGAGAGCTCATAAATTGTGAGCATTTCTCGTACCACCGTGTGCGTCCACAAATGCTCTTTTGAGGAGATTTAACTTGAAATTGCAGGTGGTGCTGACTTCATGCCTGGGAGATTGCTATGTCTGTAATGGAGTGAGATTAGAAGTTGTGTTACTCCAAAGAATAGCGTGGTTATGAAAGTAGAAATGAATTCGTGTGGGAAAGCTGCAAGTGTGTGTTCCGGTGGTCTTATGTTTCGTAAACTGAGGATGAAACCTGGAATCCAAACTAAAGTACTAAAATGCCATGCACACCTATTCAAACAGTATAACCCGTAAAATGGCCAGGTGGTGAAGGAAGGATCAATTGAAGGAGGCAGCAAAAGCAAGCTGCAGGAATATGGCAGCCTAATCATTTTTGTCCTAAAGCTGTCCTTTTCAACTAGTGCATAGAAGGAAAAAGTCACAGCCTTTGTGGAGATATATGGATATAGCATCTGATGAAATAAATTTACGTCTTATGTTCTTGAGCTGCTGAAGTCTTATATTTGTGGCTGTGTTTTTCACAGCAAGAAATTTGTAATTTTGGCTGCTTGCTCTTGAAACGGGCTGAGAAACAGCATGTTGTGTAAATAATTCTGGCCTTGCATCATGGCCAGAGATAGACTCCCCTGATTACTGCATCATACTTATGCCGTGTATGTTTCTCAGCTAGACATTGTTATGGAAATAATAGAAATAGTGCTGTGCTTTTAGCTGTAGGTGCTGACTAAGCGGGATCTCTTCCTGGGGCTGACTCGTCATCATGTTCCTGTATTCCATCCAAACACAGGTTGTTCCTGTCTTGGCAGAAATCAGATATTTCTCGGCCTGTCATAAATTTTCATGCATGAATATTCTGGATTGAGTTTTCACTCCGAAAGGAATCTGAAAAGGATAAACAAGAAAAAAATTAAGCTCTTAAGTACTCTTTCAAGTACTTGTGAGAGGACAGGAAATAAACTTTTAGTCTGATAGCTTAAAATGTTCTTAATGTGATGAGCAACTGTGATGATCTCTTCAGAATCTGAAAAATTATGATACGCTTGTTTCCTTGGTTTTAATACAGCACTTAAATAGTAGAAAGGAAGTTGTGTTACTTTACAGTTTATCTCCTTTCTTTTTTGCCTTTCCCATAGGTGAAATAACAATGGATACAATATTATCCCGTTTGAAGCAGCTCACCCCTGATGAGCTTAGAGAAGAAATTGTAAGGGCGGGACTGAAATGTGGGCCCATTACCTCAACTACTAGGTTTATTTTTGAAAAGAAATTGGCTCGGGCATTGCTGGAGCAACAAGGAGCATTGGAGGAAAAAGGCTGGGCTCTGTCAGAGGAGGCCACTGGAAGTGTCCCCGCGGATTGCAGCGGGGCAGAAGCACAGAAGGCAGCGAGTCACAACGGTCATGGAAGTGTTTCTGAAGAGGCAGACTTTGGGTACTGTGTAGGTCTGAACCCTCCAGAAGAGGATGCTGTGACACACATGAACTGTTCAGCTCCAGTCTGTGGAGCAGGATGTGTTGGTTCACAAGTTAATACCGGGACACAGCCCAGAGATCCTCCACTATACTATGGTGTTTGTCCAGTTTATGACGACATACTGGCAAGGAATGGTAAATACTAATTTCCTTTATTTCCAATGATAAGTATTTTACAATCATGTCTAAATAGACCTTTTTCTATATGAACACCACTGTATTAGTATTTTAAGCGTTGCTCGAATTATTTTTTTGTTTCTGTAAATAGTATTTATTGGAGTATCTGAGGCATAGAAGCACAGTTATAAGATATCCCAGGTGTTCTGCCATTACAGTTGATACGTGAGGATCCTCTACTCAACGTAGCCTAGACGGAGAAAGTGATTTCCTCCTACTCTCATACCCATCCTGTGCCTTTAATCCCTCTTAAGAATAAAAAGTAATCCTACAAATAAACCATCATAAAACTATTTATACTGTCATCAGTTGAAACTTAAATGGTCTCTTCTAACAGATTTAATAATTTCCTTTCTGTCTTAATACCAAATGATATCTAGAAGCATCAGTCATTCTTTACATTTTATCGATCAGTCCTGCAGTAAGGAATTATTAACTTACCTAGCAGCAGGATTACAGTGGTGCAGAAAGGATTGTTTCCTCTGAGACTGTAGGAAGAAGTGTCCTTTCTCATAAAAAGGATATTCAGATTTGAACAAATTAACAGTGCAAAAGGAGAGGAAGGAGGAGGATTTAATTAGTATCTCAGGTTCGATGTAGAGGTCAAAGTAGTGACAGGGGATCATTACATAGTTGATCTTTCTGAACAGGAGAATGTGGAAAGCAATGCAGGGTGAATAAGCTCAGAGTTTGCTTTTCAGCCTGGATGTGAAATACTCGCTTGCTGAAGCTGGCCCATCTATTAAAAAAGATGTTCAGACATCGTTGATGTGAATGGCCAAACACGGTGCATGTATCACCTGATGTTAGCTGGAGTGGGAAAATTATTCTTCTCAGTTTCTGAGAGAGAAAACTTCAAAGGGCGTCTGATTCTTCTGCCAGGTTTGATAGATAAACAGTTTTGGACCAGAGCTGGAAGGATGATCTGGGAATTTTGTAATCTGTGTCTAGGAACAAATCTGAGATCATTGAAATAACTTACTTTGATTGTACTTTGTTGCAGAGAGAATACATGTTTATGAAGATAAAAAGGAAGCTCTCCAAGCTGTTAAGATGATTAAGGGTTCCCGTTTTAAAGCTTTTTCAAACCGAGAGGATGCTGAGAAATTTGCTAAAGGAATCTGTGATTATTTCCCATCTCCAAGCAAGTCCTCTGTATGTTTGTCTCCAGTGAAAATCGGATCATTTAATAGAGGTAAGTGAAAGTATTCAGCTGTGCACAGTAGATGCAATATACAGTCTGTTAATTTTTTATGAGAGAAGAAGCAATAACTCCATAACCAATATACTGATAACAGAAAAAAAAACCAAAGGGTAAAGCATCTTAATAAATTGAAGTCCCTTTAGAGTGGTGGTGTTTAAGATAAGCTGTAAACAAATGTTAGATCACAGCTCCAGAGCTTACTCACCAAATAAAATTGCTGTATAAATAGATACGACAGGTAGTGTTTAATTACATTTTTCCTGTGAAATAAATTGGAAACAGGCAATAAAAATATTTTATTTTTAAAATTCAAATGTGGTTTTACTTCTGTATGAATTTATACTCTCACTGGAGAAAGTAATCCTTAAAGTTAATTGATGCTTTTCCAAGAAAGGGGCACCAGGGTTTCTGTACAGAAATTTTAAAAAATAGGGTAGGTTGGGATCCTGCCATTTCTTTTGTGAAGAACGACCACAGAAGTAAATTGGGGCCCCAGGAATCTGTGGAATGACTGCTTTTTGTTACTTAAAGCATGAGGTTTGGCCTTCAGTGTATGGTTTCTACGGTCTATGTTATGGTAAAGTAAACTGGTTAGTTTTAAAAGCAATTATCATTCTGGTTTGCATGAATTTTACACTAAAAAGCATTGCTGTTCTTCAGCTAAAATGTTGGTAGCGGTCTGCATAGTTGCTTAGTAGTCTCTGGTTATATTTGGTAGGATTTTATTTTACTCACAGATTTCAGGATTTTCAGGTTTAATAAGACACCAGTAAAATGGTGCAGGCTGTATTTAATTAACCATGTTCATAAGTCCAGAAATAAAATGGTAAACACTTACTGTATTTCAGTGTTCCCAGCTGCTGTATTAAAGGGACCCAGTAACCACATAACTGCAAAAGCTGTTTTAATATTCAGAAAATTCTTATTTCGTGTTGAATTTTGCTTTTAAGTTTGCATGGAAGCAGATTGGCAATTACAAAACAGTTTTACAAGGTGATTAAGTCATATTCTCCTCCGTCCCTATTGCTAACTACCAGTAAGTTTAAATGACATTGACCTATTTTTTTTTTTACTCCTGTACATTGAAGATGCAAGGTAATACGTATTTTAGATTAAAAGCTGGTTTTCATCGTCTGGGTATGAAAACATTAATCACTGAAAAGAATGCATCTAGAAACGTGTTGCTTTATTTTGATAGATGGCTTGTTCTCCCCTGAGATGGAAACTGCAAATAAAGAGAGAGCCAACAGTTATAAAAGTCCGCGTACTCAAGATCTTACTGCTAAACTTCGGAAAGCTGTCGAGAAAGGAGATACAGCGACATTTTCAGAGCTTATTTGGAGTAACCCTCGCTATCTGATTGGGTCAGGAGACAATCCAACAGTCGTACAGGTAAAAAAGAAAAATCCAAGTTCTGGTTTAATGGTTTAGCTTTGAGGCCTGATAAGCAGAACTGGAAGGAATGTTGTTTCCTACTCTTCATTCAAGATCATCTTGTTTCTGCCAGTGCAAAGTTTCTCAGTGTTTATTGATCCTAGCTGAAAGCTAAGAGAAACACGGCAGCTGTCTGTCTTGCGTTAAGTCACCCATCAAAATAGAGAGTTAAAGAAACTGAGTAAGCAGTTCTTTCTTTAGGGTGAGGACAGTTTTATCCAGTCGTGCAAGAACCGTGTTGTTGTTGTGATGTTGTGGTATTGTTGTTGGTATTGATCTCCTGCAAATAATTCCGGTGTTTTTTAAAATAGAATAACTTAAAGGAACAGGGTAGGGCCCAGGCTGTAACACTGCTGCTGGGACACCACCACCGAATTTCAAAATGTTCTCTGCATCTAGAAGCCATGTGTAAGGTACCGTTTAGCAGTCACTGACGATCTTACTTTAACAAATTACTTCTGTCAGAGCAGCTTTGGGAAGTTGTTGAAATTTTGTATGTGATATATTAACAGCAAATTGAATTTTATATATGCATATACGTACACTTATTTTCCTGCTCTTTTTATACACTCAATTTCCTGTCTCCTTTTATTATGTGATAGCTTAGTAGACTTTCTTTGCCACACTTTTGCCTTAGATGTTAAGAAAGACTATAGCTGAGTATAAGAGTAATGTTGTTAATTGAAAGAATAACGTGGGTATAAAGATGTAAATACAAATTTACAATATCATATAATTTACTGCAGGTCTGAATGTTTATGTACTGTCTTGTTAACATTTTTTCCTAAAAAAAATATTAAGAAACAAACTACAGTTGGTGTTGTATGGTATGGGTATGGGAACCTTTGTATTTTCACAGTTAAATCAGTTGAGCGTGTGGCTGTCAGGAAGCTGTTTTGATTTCAGTTCATCCTAATATTTGTCTTTTTTTTGTTTCAGGAGGGGTGTAGGTACAATGTCATGCATGTTGCTGCCAAGGAGAATCAACCTGGGATCTGCCAGTTACTACTGGACACTTTGGAAAATCCTGAGTTTATGCGGCTTATGTATCCAGACGATAACGATACAATGTTGAAGAACCGTATTCAATACATCGTGGACCTTTACCTGAACACACCAGATAAAATGGTGAGACTTGAGTGTTTGCCAGTTTCATGTTATTTTGGAAACAACTTGAAGGTGTTAAGGATGTGTAAGGGAGAAGGAAAAGAGAACAGAAGGGGATGCTTCTAGCAAAATGACTTATGCATGAGTTTTGTGGGTTTTAATCATGATTCTTACTGTATGGTGGGAAAAGATCTGTTCAGAGCCCTGATAATTGGTCATGACATTTATACACTTCTCCCAGTCTCAAAATAAAATACGTGGGATTGGCTTTATCGTGTTTCCAAGTGCATGTGAATTTTCCCTTTTCACCACTGCAGGGTTTTGATACTCCATTGCATTTTGCCTGCAAGTTTGGGAATTTGGACGTTGTTAATGTTCTTACCTCGCACCCAGCTATTGTAAAAAATCCAAGAAACAAATACGATCAAACTCCAGCAGAAGTAAGTCTCTCCACGTTGACAACAAAACCGGAATTGTTATGCCAAATCAGTAGATCTCATGTTCAGACATTTACTGACTACTGTAGATAGAGATTGTTATGAGATACTAGTGTTGCCGTTAGAGTGTAAATCTTTGATAACACTAAAAATATCTTATGTTCGTTGTATCTGGGGAAAAGTTCTAGATTTTATGATTCAGTGCCTTTACGGTATCCATTTGATGGATGTGGATGTATTTTAGTGTTCTACTGTGAATTAAAAACGCTGTACAAGATGGGTTGAGACCAATAATTGACTATTCAAAAAGAGCGCACATTGTGATGGATTTGAGATTGATGTCTTGTGCTCTACTAACAAACAATTAAAATCGTATTAACAGGTAGTTTGTGAAAGAAGCAAGAATAAATCTGCAGAATTGAAAGAAAAGCTAAGAGAGTACTTAAAAGGTCTGTATTGAGAGTTTTATACTATGTCAGGCCTGTATTTTGTCTCTTTGCTGTCTTCTGTTTCCCTTCTTTAGCGTTCCTTTTCATAAATGATGCTACTGTACAGTGCTCTGAAAACCAAAGAGAAACTCTAAAACTGGCAAGGAACAGAAAGCATTTTTGTCTTTTAAATTACATGGTCAGAACTGGTACTGTATGGATCACAAGGTTCTCCTCATAGCTCTGTAATGTGGGCATGGCCCCTATTTTATTCAGTGAGCCTGAAGCAGAAAGTTTAATTTAAAAGCAAACAAAAGGTCTTTACAAAGCAAGAGATTTATTTGTCACGCTGGGCAGTCGTGTGATTTCTTTGACACGGAACTTTTCACTGTTTTGTCATGTGAGGGTTTAGGCATCTGCAAACTGACATTTTGGTATTCGCTGAAGATCCTTAGGGGAGAGATACGTGTATCAGTTTCTGTATTTGAGAGAGAGGGGAGCCTGCACTAAAATACAATCTGTAAGCAGTCAATAAACATTGAAACAGCGAGTTTGAATTGGAAATAGTTTTACTAATGAAATAAAGTCAGCTGGTGAAGTATTCGGGTGTATTGGTAGTCTAGGAAGAAGCAGCGGGGTAATGTAATGTAAACTCAGTAGGAAAGCTTTGTATTACCTTTTTTTAGGTCGATACTATGTACCACTCTTGAGAGCAGAAGACAATTCCTCAGCTCCTGTAATTGGTGCGCCATGGTCCCCTGATCAGACAGACGACAGCCCCCAAAGAACTTTATCTAAATACGCTGGCAGCCCCAAAGACCCAGTGCTGTCGATACGAGCTTTTGCAGGCCCCATGAGCCCCTCAAAGGTAAGAAGAGAATGTCATGTGACTCTTAATGCCTATTTTTTATTCCTTTTTTTTCTTTTTTTTTCAAATGAAGAGCCATTAGCAGATTCACCCACAGTTCATCGTGTGGTGGAGCTCACTCCTGGACAGATTGTGGCGCTCTCTTTCCTGAAGAGATGGATCTCCCTCCATAGAGGAGGAGCACAGAAAGATTTTTTTATTGCTGAAAACATAGAAACGTGTGGTGTAAATAAGAAGAGTGGAAATTCATTCAAAAGAGAGTTGTTGTTTTCTGTTTCCTATTGGAGTCTATTCAAAGAGCACTCTTTGGCAAACCTTATGTTGTCTTACAGATAATTGCTCCAAGTTTCTAATCTGAAACAAAGCCTTTCAATGTGGCTGTGAATCAGTCTAAAAAAATCCTACCTGTGTCTTTATCTCATTTCTAGAAATTGGCGCTGGATGTTAGGAGCAGTTTGTCACCTCCGCTTGTTGAGCGAACAGTATTTCGTTCTAGATGGAAAAACCGATAACCAAATAGCAGATGCTGGGATAGTTTTGGAAAAATATTGATTGTGTAGTAGAAAGTGAAGTTTTCAGAAGGAATAGTTAGATACCAGTTAAATACAGTATAAATTTGCAGGCATTTCTTTGACTCGTTTGTTTCATAACAATGTGCTACAAGTATGACAGCTTTAGAAATCATGAGTAAAGACAATAGAGAACTTTCTGGCATCTAATGCATGAATTCTTCCAGGACTGAGTTTTACCAAAATGCTCAATGCTTTTTGTTCTAAATGTGCTTGTTGGTCAATTTTCAATTCACCTGACAAAAATGTAAATATATTTTATACTCTGAAAAAAAATCTACCTAGAGTGTAAACAATGTAGTACTTTGATTGCTGACAGATACTTTTAATGTCTGGATGTAATTCTTAGTTATTGTTGCCGACTTCCATCGTATAAAGGCATAAAGTTTGGGCTTTTACAAAAATCCATTAGTTTATTGCCTTTAGCAGTTCAAATTCAAATTTCAAAATATACGGCAAGAATATATTCTAACAGTTGTAGTGAGTCTGTGGAATTAAATAAATACATATAAAAATACCACCTTTGCAACCTAGAAACCGGTGACCAAGAGAGCATTTATCATTACATAAAATTATAACGACATGGCAAAACTAGAAGACATACCTGTTCCGTGCTACACACAAATTAAAACCAGACAGACTTAGTATCTGTACGGTGTTCTTTAGGGTTGTTACACATTATGGTCCTTACTCTTAATAAGCATTTATGAGATCAAAGTAACCAGTAATAGCGGAAGGAGTAACCAATGATCCCGTCTGAGATTCCTCGTAGCTAGAGTTGAGGAATGCTTGTTTCAGAACTACAGTTTTTCACGTGTAGACAACAAGCAGCTAAATGTCTTTTAGACCTAGAGGTAGACGTTTAGCCAGCACCGAGTTAGCTTCATGTTGTGGGGTGTAGATTTTAAAATTATTTTTCTTTTTTAAAAGGCTGAAGAATTTCGCAGGCTTTGGAAGACTCCACCTCGAGAGAGAGCTGGCTTCTTTCACAATGTCAGGAAATCTGATCTGGAGAGAGGTGTTGAAAGGGTTGGAAGGTATCTAAATGAGTTTCAGTATAAAAAATTAGCAATAGACAGAGCAATTAAAAGCAGAAGACTTGTGCTGAGTTCAGTTATTACTTACTGAACAATACTTTGGGGTAAATGTTACTGGCAGAAATATTTTACGAAGTACATCGTAGTTGGATATTTACTGTATTTTTGTGTAAACAAAATAACTGAAAACATAACACCTACCTTTCTTAGCTTTGGAAATATTTTAACTATTGCTGATGGTGTGTATAGAATGCTTTTCTCCGACATTTATTTGCCTAATTTGTCAGAAGATCTGAAATTATGCATAGCCTACTTTTCTGTAAAATTGAGGGATTGTTAAAAAGAGATACAAATAATAATAATAATAATACAAATGTTCTGCTTTATAAAAGCTGTGTGTTGCGGTATGTGTCCTTGCCTTGAAAATACCTTGTATCAGCAATATATGGAAAACACAGACTTTGTTAAAAGCTTGTTAGATTTCCTTCTTTAAAATAACCCCACTTCCTTCTACCTTCTCCTGTTCCCAAATAGAAAAAGCTATTGAATGGAGTATCATTCAGATTGTGCCTGCGTCAGTGGGGATTCATCTCTATCTGATGTCTAGATACAGTCAGTTTTAAAACAGCAATATTTATGGTGTTAAAGGATAGTAAATTTGACAAATATTCTAGAAGAAATTTAGCTGCTGCTATGTTTGCTAAAGATGTTTTGCTAAGTCGCCTTTGCAGACTGTTGCTTGTTGCAGAATTGTGTTGCCCAGTCGCACGTTTATACTCCTCTTAATAGCTGATAAAATGTATTCAGAAAAGTTATTGTCAAACTAATACTTATGTCTTCACAAATGATTCGTTTTATTTTATTTATTGCAGGGAGTTAGCTCATGAACTGGGGTTCCCGTGGGTTGAATACTGGGAATTTCTGGGCTGTTTTGTTGATCTGTCTTCCCAGGAGGGGTTGAGAAAATTAGAAGAGTACCTGAGTCATCGGGAAATGAGCGAAAAGGCTCAGCAAGAAACAGGGGAAAATGAAACCTGCAATAGATATAAAACTCCACATCCTTCTGGTAAGAAAAGGGCAGTGCTATGAACAACAGGTGGTACCTAGGGAGAAGAGGGAGAAAAAGCCTGGTGCCCAGGGGAAGCATTACTCGCCTGTTGTGGTTGCTATTGTTAATCTGTTACCAAACAGTCTGATTATGGTATTGGAAAAGTAGTTAATAACACTGCGAATGTAGGAGAACTAGAACAGACCTCATCAGATGTTTGTTACCTTTCTTTTGAAGTACTTTATTTGATGGTAGCCCCCAAATGAAATTCCTGTAAGGAAACCTCTGTCTTCAGTAAGTTTTTACTCAGAGCATTGGGAATTCGCCTTAGATTATAGAATCCACAGGTACAGAATAAATCACTTCCTAAAATGAAGGAACAGTTCTTTGCAGTTGAGAGTGAAAGACGCACTGAACAAAACCCAGGAAAGCTGTAGTACCTTCTTAGACCACTGCTTGCCATTTGTTTACAGAAGGCACGCAGCAGGCCCAGATCTTTGTGCTCCTTCCTCCTCCTGTGCAGTTATAGATCTGAAAGGCCTCTGGTACTGGGACAGACCTGGGCTGACGAGACCCTGAAGGGTGGTTATGGACTGATCATAAGCCTTTGTGCTTTGGAAGAGATGGAAACTTAAGCTATTCTGTATTAGCAATATTTTCCTACTCTCTTCTGCATTATCCTAACTTCGTTCTTTGTTGCTGGCTAATTATTGAAGTGAGGATTCACATTCACTTCTCGAATGACTAGGATATAAAAGGTTATTTCCAAAGAAGATGCAGCTGTAATGTCATTTTGCATTTGTAACTTTAGTTAGGTTCGTTCATGCTGTTGCATAAATAAAATTAGAGAGGGCTTCAAGAAATAGCATAAGGCATAAAGGTTGTTTATTTGTTCCTAGTTTATTTGGCTGGCATTCTGTTGAAAGTCTTTTTATGTGTTGGTCTTATTTAAATTGTTTACAGGCAAGAGTAAAAAGTGCTGCAATTCTATTTCTGTTGGAGCATTTTTGGATGAGGACGATGATGACATGAGCTTAGAAGAAATTAAAAACAGACAAAATGCAGCACGGAAAATCAGCCAACCCGTCGTGTCCAAAGAACCTCATGTCGGTGCTATCGGAGACGCTGAGTGTGATATCTTGTCAATGGAGCACACAGGAAACATTATAGAAACATCAGATCACCCCAGGCACTATGAAAAGGCAGCTTCTTCCAGCAAAAATGGATTTTGTAGTCCTGTGTCCAGTGAAAGGATAATCAGTGACGGAAAGCATTTGCATGGTGGAGAAGAATGCCTTGTGTCACCCGTTTCCAATTTAATGTCAGAATTTGAAAGCCTGTCATTCCAAGAACAAGAGGTTGCAGGAGGATCAAATAAAATCACTGAAAAAACTGTGAATGAGATGATTCCAGCTGCAGGAACAAGTCAGGTGAGAATATCCAAGGACCATCGGGATCAGACCGGCTATGCATTTTCCCTGGCAAGTTCTTGTGAGCCAAGTGTTGCAGGTAAACCTGGAGAGACCAAGTTAAGGACAGAACACAAAATTCCCCCAGAAAAGGAGAGGCCGTCCATGGAACCTGGAACTCAGAGCAACGAGGCACAACGTCAAGAACTTTCTTCACAGAAAGGTTTTTGGAAGGCTTCACCCACAAATGACAACTCTAAGAAGTTATTCCTGCTTGGGTAAGAATCACCTTTTTAACACTTACTTGTCCTTTGGCTTATGTACACAAAACAAATCAAGATGCTTTTCAGAGTGTCACTGACGGCGAGGCTGAGATGATGTGATAGTAAGCAATGCCGGTTGCCGTCAGCCTTGAATGATTGTCTTCAAGTGCCGCGATGCTTGTGCAGTAGCCACACAGCTCTCTTGCAGCTGATTACCTGAGTCCACATCTGAAACACAAGGAGGAAGAAGAGTTTTGTTTCCAAATCAGTTTCAGCTAACTTTGCTGTGTACCATTCATCTGACAGGCTTGTGACTTCATGATAAGTCCAACAAAGTGTTCACTGCACTCTTGGGATGTTCTCAGATTAAGTTTTCAAAACTTTTATTTTATGAGGCTACTGTGTAATAATGGACAGTCATTTATGTGTGGGCCTGCTGGAAAAAGTTCTTAGAGAAACAGTGTTCATAGAGGAGCAAGGGCAATTTGTTTGCTTATTTCAAAAATAAATGTTTTGAAATTGGAATGTTTTATTGCCTGAACAAATACATAGTTCTCTTTTCATCTGATTCTGTTTATATTCTAGGGAGCAGCCCTCGAAGCTGGATAGTGATGTGTTAGCAGCTATAGAAGCAGCAGAGATTGATCCACAGAAATACCCGGTTATTTACAAATGGAAACATGCAGTGCAGTCGTACTCTTCATCTGACAGGCAAAGGTATTTCTGCAGGTGCAGTCACATGAGTTGAAATGAAATTTTTAGCAGGTCAGACACAGAAGAGCTTGAATAGGTAGAATTTCAGGCCTTGTTGCTCACAAAAACCTTGGTTTAAATGTGCAACCGTGTTAACTGTTAGTATGTTTCTGAAATTAATCACCCAGCCTTTTTGGTTGGAGTCTGTGAATGAGGGAAGTTTGCTGGTGCTGGTCAAATTCCTTCCATTACACTGCAGTTCCACGTAACTTCAGCACATCTGTACAGACAAATCAGACAGAAAACGGAGGTCTCAAGAGTGACAGTGTTCTCCAGTTGGCACACGTGTCTGTGTGCTGATTTATTACTTGGTACTTGGACCCTTTGGCTTCTTTTGGTAATTGAATTAACATGAAGATTTAATTCCATTTTGACAGACATTGGTCAGAACACTGAAGAGTCCCTTGTGTAGACAGGCTAACACTTACATACAGCCATGATAAAGTTCTCAGAAAAGAAACGGATGACCCAGTGCCACACAACAGATTGGACAGGGGACAGGAACAGAAAGGCACCAAATGACCTGTACTGACTTCTGCTTTTTTCTTGTTTCTTCTAGCATGAAATTCCACTTATTATGAGAACTGTTTCCACTAAGAAGTTCTCAGTATGGGTATTAAACATTAATTTTTTCAAGCATGCTTTACAGACAGAAGCTCTAAAGCTATGTCAGAGCTTGTGAGAATTTAAAAATATAATAGACTGGCTTTATTGGCCATAAAATTCAGAGTAGGAGTTGGGAACCAGCAGCTGAGAAGTGCAACTGTGTTAAATTAGCAGAGATCGGAGCAGGAAGAATGTTGTGGAGAGAGCTGAAACAAGGTGTGACAGGGCTGGCAGGAGTGCAGATGGTAATGCAAGGGGAGATGCTGCCCAGTGCGAGCACTGGGAAAGAAAGCAGCTTAACTTTGTCTCTGTATTTCCAGCAGTGCACTGAAACAGGGCCAGCTCGTTCTTGGGAAAAACCCAGGAAGCTAAGATGTTTCTGTGATTTAAAGTGGAGTAGAAATGGGGAAGCATTTTCATATACGATTTGGTGTTGTTGTACCGCTTCACTTTTCAAAGTCAAATTCTCTCATCCCCTGATTTTTGTAATTATTTTTTTTAAGAAATAGGCCAATTACTAGGGTATTTTTCATCATTATTCCAATGTCTGAAAGGTTCACTGTGTTATTCTTAAGTGCTAAAACATAACATGAGATGTTTATGTGTAATCACTGTTCTATCACATAAAAAAGCATTACTGTGATTATTTGTCAGCGCCAAGGCTCGTGCTGCAGCCTCCTTAATTTTGCAGTGCTACCTCTGCCAAAAGGGAAGAAATGACAGACTTGGATCACGTTGGGTTTAGGTGTGTAGGATTTTAACTGCAAAAATCAGGCCTAGTGATACAGGTACCAGTAGGTCTGTCAGAAGAAAATTTCTTTTCAAAAGGTTTTAAATACGCCGTGTGCGCGTGTATCTCATCGCTGGGGGATGCCTGGGTTGGTTTTTATGATTTATTTATTTAAAAAACCTTTTGTATTTAGCTTGTAGCGTGTTTTCTGTTCATCATAAGAAATTACCTCACATAGAATGAACGGGTGCTAGAATCAACCTTTGGTCATTCTGCCTTGCTTAAGACAAAATTTAGAGAAAAAGAAAAGGCTTTTTCAGAAATGGGTTTTTAATTTAACAAATATCTTTTTCTCTGTTTTCAAAGAAATTTTAGATACTAGCTCCCGTTGACTTAAGAAAAAAATCTGACACTTACTACGTAGAAGAATGATTATTACTTCTGTGGCATCCAAACACAAAGATTATTTTTAAAGAGGAGGCGGGGAATGATGCTCTGCCTCAGCAGCAGCTGCGGCACTGCCCAAGATCAGGGCAGCTTTGGTCTTGGTGCCGTTTTCTAATGGGGGCACTGGACTAAAATTGCTCAGGTGCTTCACAAGCGCCCGTTTCTTTGCTTAGTGGCCATTTGGAGCAGATGAGGCAAGATGTCTACACGTAATGCACAGTGCTGTTGCTGTTTGTTCTCAGACCTCTGTTGTCCCAGCTACCATTTTTCTCTGCTGGTGCATTATTTCTAAGCCCTGCAAGTGATACTGAGGACAGGTACTGCTCTCCTTACCGCCGGTTTCTTAACAAAATGCAAAATTACTTCTTGCTTCTTTCAGTTGGCCAAGCCCAGCACTGAAGGCAAGATCCAAGTCTCAGATCACTGCTGCTGGCCTTCCAAGTGCTTCCGTGTATTCGAATTCAGGAAGAAGCAGCCCCGTAACAGGAAGTCCAGGAAAATACGGCACCGCTGCCTCGTTCGCTCCAGACCCCGGGAGCCCTGGGCGCTACAGTCCAGCGTGTGTCAACCATGCGCTGTTAAAACTGCGCTATTTTTCAGAGCCTCCTGCCCATTAAAATGTGATTCATCTTCCTGGGACTTCAATTCTATTTTCCTTGTTAGAGCAGAGGGAAGTAACCCACAATGTTACGGAAGTGACATGAGGTTTGTACTTGGCTATTTATTTTTCCTCAATTAATTGAGGACAACTGTACGTTAAAAAAAAAAAGAATATATGTCTTTACGCCGTATCTGAGCTAGATTACTGGTGATGTACAAGAAGTTAGTGACAGTCAGTGCAGTTGTCCAGTAGCTGTGAGTTAACCCTTGTTGCCAGTAAAGCAGCGAGCTGAACCTTTCCTTAGCAGTGGTGGTATTTTGTTATCACCAGTTGTCGTCGTCGTAATGAACCCGTTAGCCTTCTTTTGCTTGGGTAGCCTGGAGGTAGCACATCGTCAGTGAACAGAAACCTCGGGAGAGGAAATGGATGGCAAGAAGTGAAATGCTCTTCCAGGTGCAGAGGGAGTACTCAAACTGAAAAGCCTAAAACAAAGCCTGGGTAATGAAACCACAGCTCTCCAGTGCTGAGTATGAACGTGAAACCCTGTGTATAAACAGAAATTAGTGTTTCTAGCCAGCACTTTGGTCTAGACAGTGGAGTATGCAGACACATGCACTTACATATCTGTGTGTATGTATGCACGTATTTACACAGAAAGCTGTCAGTCTTTGCTTGTTCTGAGGCTGTTAAAACACCCATGGTATACTGAGTGTTTTAGTAAAGGGGCACTATAGAAATTATTGCTATTCCTTTAAATGTTAGTTTGAAAATTTAAAAAGAATATAAAAATTAGCTGGTTTTTTTCCCACAGAAGTGTTTAACATTAGCAGATTTTAATACTTATTACACAAAAGCACATCAGCAATAATTTCAGCAGATTTACCAGCAAGATATCTTAATGGTCTAGTTTGTAATCTCAGAGTGGTAGCCAGTGACCCATGATGTGGCTCCTGATGTCCCAACTGTAAAGAGACAGGAGTATGGACTAAAAATATTTTTACTGAAATCTAAACTTTTACTCCGATGTCTCCAGTCTTGACGTGGTAATGAGTCTTTGTTACAGCAGTCAGTGATTCTGTTCTTTAGCCTTCTGTAAGAATGACTTGTTTCGACACTACGCTGCTGAGTTTGAAGAATCTGTTTCAAAACTGAAGACAGTTTTCCATATCAAGCTTAATGGTTGTGATGTTGCTTAAAGGAAGGCTTCCAGAAACAGAGTTCTCCAGTGTGATAGCCCTCTAGTTCCAAAAAAAACACCAAACAATACAAACTGTCTGTCGTTGTGACTTACATCTGATCAGACAATTAAAATCCACCAAGGCTGTGCTAGTAAAAAAGGGATGGATCTGGAGTCACCGGTGCCACACGCTGATGAGGAAGCACGGATGCTACTTGGGTGTCCGTAAGGCGGGTGCACGGCTGGAAAACGCCCGCCGTGGGCTGGGTGATGCAAGGCCCGAGCGGGCTCAGCAGGAGCGAGGCTGGGGCTCAGCCTGCAGAGCTCGCAGGGTTCCCTGGTTGCTGCAGTGACTGTTCGTGCACAGACTGTACACCTGGCAACAGCTTCCGTATTTGGTACAAACCTAAAAAAACCCTGCACTTAATGCTTTTTGCAAGCTCAATAGTGCCTTTTATAGCATATTTTTTAATTAATTTTTTTGTTCTTTTATAAGTTTTTTAAAAAAGTGGCATCCACTTACTATAGGTACATAAAATACCGTTTTTTTTTCTTCTGGGCTTTCTGAACTGAACATATTTTAATGTCTCCAAGTTTGATTATCCGGTGTGACAGCTCTCCACTGTGGGAGAGCATTCCTGTTTTAGAAATTATTCTTTAAAAAAAAAGGCTTATTTAGCTCTTTATTTATAATTAAGCCTATTTCCAATGAGCTAGAAATTATAAAGAGCTACTTTACAAATGACCGTCATTCAGAGATATTCCAACCAGTTTGGGGTTGTGGGGTGGGGAGGTTTCATTCCTTAAGACACATTAGGGAAAAAAAGAAAAACCAAACAAAAAAACCCAAAGCAACAAAACAAACAGAACCTGCTCTGTTACCAGGCATATTCACAGACTTTTTTAACAAGGATTTGTTTTTTTTTTAAATGCAGTCTCTATGGTCTCTGTTTTACTTTAAAGGGTTTGGGGTTTTTTTTGGTGGGTTGGTTGTGGGTTGTTGGGTTTTTGTTTGTTTAGTTTTGTTCTGGTTAATAATTTAATGAAAATTATGTCTTTGTCATTCTGGAGAAGTTATTCAGATGCTGAGTAACTGCCCATTACCACTTTAAAGCCAAGCCTGGTGAGCTGCTGTGCATGCAGCAGAACTGCCCTGGTCCTTCTCGAGCTGTCAGAAGACCTGCACTAACGCTCTACTTCTTTTCTTTCCCCTTTTTTACCTTTGTTATGCTTTGCTTTCTTTTTTTTTAATACTTAGTATTGGTATGTACAAGTAGCCACACACACCCCCCACACACCTCCCACTACCCTCACCAAACCTTTGTCTTTCACTTTGTAATTTTATTTTGGTTCGGGCAAGAGAATATTTTTTTTAACTGTGTTATATACTACAATGTGTCTTAGTCCGGTTGTACCGCATCTTAAGAAGTCATTTTCTAGCAATGTATTTACTTCAGCTATTAAACAAAGAATAGCAATCGATGTAGCTATTTCATCGTTCACGGTAGTAAAGAAAGCTCTTCCACACAGAGCTTGTAGAGACACTAAATCAGATTGATATTGCTTGAATTGTGTTTTCTTGGCCAAAAGTTCATGTTTAAAGGTGCAAAAGATCAGTTGTGGGTTTGTTTTGTTTGTTGGCTGATTAAACAAAAACAAGTGTCATGTTAAAAATGCAGAGTTATCCTGCTTTCTAATAAAAAATAAATTAGTAGCAAGAAGTGTCACAGTTTGATTTCTGGTGGTAGGCAGCTGGGGCGATAACCACGATGTGGGCAAATCACACATTTGTCCAGGCCTTGCCACCACCCCCCTACCCATCTGTGTGTGCACAGTGACACGGGATTGTGCCATTGAAGACTTGAAGAACAATCTCAAAGTGTCTGTAAGAGACAGAAAGGCTGCACACTATAAAAATTATGTACTTGCTAGATTTAAATGTCATACTCCCTCCCCAGAACTTAAATGCCACTGAAAAAGTCATTAATTTCTGTACATGTGCAAAGAGGTGGTGTGTGTTTGCTGGCTGCCCACCAAGAACCTATTTATTAGCGTGGGGGTATAGAAAGGTGTGTTATGAGAGGGTGTGTGTATGCACAGACACACAAAAATGCACAAGACGTTCATCTTACTCGCTCTGGTGCTCCTCTTCCATGTGGTGGTGAGTGACACAGCCCCTGTACTCCCAGAACACCAGATCCAAAGGGTTCATCTTGTATATGGCACTGCTTGCACGCATTGCTGTAGGTGATGGCAATGAACTTTGAGCCAGCTATTCTCTCAAGTTTACATTGCTGGTATGTGGAGTTACAAAGCTGATAAATGGCAACACGCGATGCAAAGGCTGCTCAGCTGGCAGAAACACAAGTCACTGTGCAGCACTTCGTTCAGCCATCCATTCTACGGGAGATGGCCACACAACTTTTAACTGAAGAGACAAGAAAGACGGACCAGTTATTTTATTCAAAACTGTTAAAAAGTTAAGAGACAAAAACTGATAAATTATGCTCATTGCAAAGAGATGGTTTCCTCTTGCCCCCACAACCTGCACTACACGATGACCATGGTTTGTTCCCTACTATCCCCAGTGGCTGAGATCATCCTGATGCAACAGTCCTGTACCAATCAACCCTGGTCCTGCTAGGTTGGGTGCCATGATGCTGCTTTCTGCAGCTCTGACAGGTGCAAGTTTAGGATCTCATCAACATTCTTGGTGATAAGAGACCCTGTTAAACTACTTATTTATGTATGTTTGCTGGTCTATAGTATGCACCCCATCACCAAGGCGTATTATGCATTTGGTGACATCTTTCAACATTGCAGCTATTGAGCTAAGTTACTACAGCTGTTCAGGTGCGCAGCAAACATCTGAAAGGTGAAATGCTACCAAGCCCTCCTCTCAAAAATGACACCACCTGCATTTGTACCAGAACAAGTCCAGCAGTGTCAGAGCGTACAGAGGAGCCACTTAAATCATTCTGCCTGGCAGCTGCACTGCTCAGCCTAGAAGAGCCATCCCACAGGCAGTTTTTCACCATTCAGGCACCAGTAGCTTTATGCAGCCATTTGCTCCAATACTGCAGAACCTGACCTGAAGCACTGCTACCTTGAGCCCTGTGGTGGTGTCGCTCTGCTCTGAAAGCAAGGTACCAACAAATAGAAGTCAATGGGACAGAGCAGAAACAAGAAAGAGCCGGTAACTGGAAACACTTGCGGAAAATTGCCGCCTGCCTTTCCTTCCATCTTACTGCTACAAGAACTCATTCCTACATCCTTCTACAGACCAAGTTTTAGTTAAAGGCTTTATGAGACTGAAAAACATTGTTCAGAATATCTTAAAGTACTTCCTGAGGATGGAGGTACACTCAATATAAGCAGCAGTTAATTCTAGCACCACAGTGCTGAGGCAAATGGTTGGTTTTTTTTACCCTCCTTATGCTTATAACCTCCAGGCACAGATTACATGAGTTTTCCAGGGGCAGAGGGAAACAATGACACAAACACACATCCTCAACAGCTTACAAAAACTGAAGCATTATCCCTTCCTTATCTGAACAGCAGAATACCCTATCACTTCTGCAAGAGCTGAAACAAGCTGGCTCATCTTCAGTTGTAGCTGCAGCATGATACAAGGCTGTTCCTTCCCCTTCCCACACCAACTGCTTTCCTGCACAAGAGAAATATCCAGAGGAGCAAGCTTTGGTTACAGAAATTCGCAGGGGCGAGGCGGGGAGTCAGTGCTCTTGCAACTGCTGAGCACACAGACATTCAATCTCTTTGCATTCCACAGCCCAGCTTTGAGTATTGGGGAACACTTGAGGACTGGAGAGCTTCAGGCTTACAAAGACTTCTTCTTTCCTGGACTGAAAGGCAGGTACGAGTATGAAGGAGGCAAGGGGCTAAAGGACATTTTAAGACAGCATCACACCCCAACATAACAGATAAAAATCTAGTGGTACTGTAGCTGAATGTACTAGTGCAAAGAGACTAGAGGCAGCTCCTGGACAGCCATCAGTTTTGCTCATTCAGGTACGCGTGATTTTATCTGGAGGCATGAACCCTGTGTCACCCAGTGTTCGAAGCGCCACTCTTCCGTTCGGACGGATCACCAAGTGAGTTATACTGCCATTGTTAAGAGACATTCGCAGCCAGCCTTCCGGGGGGAACTGCAACGCCCTGTTAAACAACAACAACAAAAATAATTTATTCATAAACAGTTATCTTAACATGCCCTCACAGCATCACCTTCTGTTCCAGGTAAGAAAAAAAGAAAATTGTTGGACATTTTTCTTGTGCAATTGCTATGAAAATGCAGCACTGGTAACTGGACCAGAGCCAACAATGCACTTGCATAAGCAGAGTCCAACAGGTGAGTATGATTATCACAGGCAAGATTAATTCAAATCGACAGAAGGCAGAAGCTCTCACACAGCCAGGTTGCTGGGAACGCTCTGAGCAACCCCGTACCAAACGGGACAACAGCAGAGGTTCGAGTTGGTCACTGAGCCAACTGCAGCACCACAAACCTCTGGGCAGTTCAGGACAGGTAGAGAGGATGGCTCACCACCCCAACGGCCCCTGTGGACCAGAGGTTAAGTGGCAAACAGCACACTTTGATCCACTATTTTAGCCTTAACACAGGTAGGTACCTAACAACGGCAGAGGTAGTGATTCATTCTGTATGGCTGCCAGCACATGCCTATGAACTTTTATTCTCCAGAACTACTTTCCTCAGCTGCACTGTTCCGCAGAAGTGGCAAGAAAAAGTTCCTCGTGCTTTTTGTAAAAATTCAGTAACACAGCTCATCTCCAGCTATTCCAAAACTCCTAACTGAAGTCCTCAGGAGTTCAATCTATTGTAGTAAACCAGCTGTAAAAAAATATCTCAGGCATCTTTTGCCTCAGATACTGAGGAATAACTTGATTTTGGCTCTTAGGACAGTCTTTTAGAAAGGCTAAGAAATTAAGGAACAGCTACAGTCAAGCTAGATTGAAAGGGAACACTGCACGCACTGTGTTCAGTTGTAGTATCAGAGATCCTGGAGCAGGCAGAAGAGAAGTTAAAAAGAGAAAAGAAACAGCAAAGGGAAGAAGTGTACAAGCATTTCAGAGAATGCTCCTGAAGAGCTCTAAAGAAGTCCACAGCGCAGACAGGCAAGCATTTAACTAGCTCAGCTAAATAAAGCTAACTGAAATTGTTGTAGGTATTGATCAGATTAAATTTTAATCACATCTGTCCTGCTCAAGACAAACTGTCTCAGGGAAGAGGAATAAAACAGACTCAGCTGATTGGGTACAGAGACAGGCAAAGATCCAGAACCGTTTTCTCCTTCATGAACAACCTTGATGTTAGTGCAAAGATTCTAATTCAATACTGGAAGTTACTGCAAAAGCACACTAATACAGCTTGAGCATAACACAAAGATTTCCATCTTTGAAAGATAAACCAATCTTTCATTACGTAAGATCAAATCCACAGCACCGCAAAAAACCACGTCCGGTCAGATGCTCTATTTATTGCTTTCCAATGGTGCAGACAGACATTGTCCTCAGGTTTATGGGAAGCAGAAGTATATGGTATTAAAGAGACTGTTCAAACATACAGAAAGGTTTGGAGCCCAACCAATTCAGCTGTTTTCACTTTAGAATTAGAATGAATGTGTTGTAATTTCCCAATGTGCCTTGTATCTGCAAATTAATCCTGTGACGAAGCTGCAGAAGCAGCTGCTCACAACGCAGGCACTGATCTCCAGCCACTCCAAACAAGAGAAATCAAGACATCTCCTAGCTCAGCAGTGCCATCCACCATCTACCATGGAAAATCACATCCTTGTAAAGGACACAGATGAACACACAATCCAACACATACCTGCACACGATATAGCGGATCACGTTGGCATGGCAGACAAAGATCTCGTAGCTGTCTTCTTCCTGCTTTGCATCAGCTCTATGAATGAAGTTTCGAAAAGCAGCCTCAATTCGAGCTCCATCTTCGTAATACTGCTAATAGCACAGAGTTCAGAGTTACACACAACTCAGAGCAGCACGTGCCACTGTCTGCATTTGCAGGTGGGCTGCATCTTCTAAAGAGTTCTTCTTCATAGGGATGCACACTTGAGGCTGAACTCGTACTTAAGGACTAAGTTATTTTAACTGCTCTGTACACTTATAGGGAGGAGAAGACAATACAATCACCCAAGGTCTATGATGAAAAGCATCAACTCAGACACTGCAAGTTACTGCTACTGTCTATACAAAGTATATTAAAAACTCCAAAACATAACTAATAAATAAATAAGATTTTAAAAAGTAAAAAGTTACCACAGCTTCTGGTTTCCAGTGTGAGACTGGAGGATCTGGTTCTATAGGCGCTCCCTCTCTCAGCAGATCAGTACTAATTTTTTTGACTCCTGAAATATTAAAGACACATTCAGAAAGGAGTTGTTACTTCACATGGCACTGCAAACAGGCCCACAACTCTGCAATCAACACATTTTTCATATTCTTTCTTGAAGGAAGCCTTCCTCTCCATCCTAAAGACCATTTTAGTCTACACACTTCCTACCAAGGAGTGTGAATCTCTTCAACACAACTGTTTTGTCATCAGCGAGACAAAGTTTCTTTTGACTGAGAACAGCTTGGCACAGCAGCTTGAGTCTTACCAGCCTGCTGCACTTTGAAGAAATTCACTTGCAAGGATGTTAATCTAGAGCTGTATGTCAGTTAATGCTTACTGCTAATTAATGTCAATGTTACTCTTTTGATATTTAATATTTACGTTCATATTTTAATCTCTTACTCTGAGGAAGGAAAGGTGGTTTAAGGGGGGTTTTTTGGAAGCAACACATTTAAGAAAACAAACACAGAACGGTTAAGAGAACTGACAGCTAGGAGGTCAGCTGATGGCCTGTGACAGCTTTTGCTTTACAAAACACGTAAGTGAAGAGCAACCAGCAGAGTTCTCCTACGCAGCGGTACATACAGGTAGCAGTCACTCGCTCAGAGGGGCAGATGACTCTGGTATTTTTAAAGATGAACTGGAAACAAGCAGAATTAGGGTTCTTAGTTTCTTTATCAATATAGACATGTTCACATAGGGCTGGAAGTCAGCTAAATAACATCTCAACCAAAGCAGTTTTAAGGATCAGAAAACAATGAAAATTAAGGGAAGTCACTCACCTGGGAGATGTTTACTTATAATTTCAGTGGTTTCAGTTGCTCTTGTCATGGAGGAGTGGATAATCTGATCAAATTTTATTCCCAAACTTGCCAGCCTGTGTCCAGTCAGTTCAGCCTGCTCTCGACCTTAAAAATTATGTTCATAATATGAATTGGTGACACTCACATAAGCGCCTCACGCAAACTACCAAAAATGTTGTCCAGTAGACGTAAAAGGTCTCCATGGATGTCAGTCTTTTTCCTTTCAAAAAGTAATGGGAAAATGTTTTTACCAGAGTCACTACTCAGATCAAGCTCACTGACTGGACAATTTCAAGTTGTATTTCCATCAGCAGG